AGACCTCATCTCTACAATAAATCAAAAAATCAGCCAGGCGTGGTAGCGCATGCCTGTAATTCCGGCTACTCGGAAGGCTGAGGCTGAAGGATCGCCGGAGCCCAGTAGGCGAGGCTGCGGTGGCCGGGAGTGGCCACTGCACTCCAGTCTGGGCGACAGAGTGAGACTCCAACTCAAAAAAAATAAAAAATAAAAAATCCACAATTTGTTTTCTCCTAAAAAGAAGAGTACATAACATTCTGTACCCCATTGTGTGGTCAAGTAATCATTCTGTAATTCTCACCTGTGCATATCAATACATTTGTATTCCGTTTCTTATAATCTGTCTTTTGTCAGCTGATTTTCAGTGACCCTTCAGAGGGCAAAGGGAAGGTTTTCTCTTGTGCCAACAGGTATATTATAGTTGCTTATTAGTAATACATCTGTTATTCTTATTAGAATTTTTAAATTTACTGTTTTGCTTCTGAATATATTTAGATCTAAATATATGCTTATTTGTACATGTACATTTAAAAAACAGTTTATGATAAAGTATTTTTAAGGAAAAGTGAATTTTCAGTCTAAATAATTGGTTTCCATTCCTAGTGTGTCATAGTTCTAACAGTTCTTAATGTCTAGTTATTATAAGTCCATTTTAAGTGTAAGAATTAAATAAGAGCAAAAAGGTAACAGGTTGTTAATATGAATAATTTTAGTTAGTTAACATTTTTAGTAAAAAGCTTTAACTTGAAAAAATTAAAACATGGAGATGATCTTAGGATAGTTTACTTTAAAGATTTTATCAGTCATTAAATAAGCAGCCAAATAAAACCGTATTACATATATTATATTTAAAAGGTCATACATAATTCAAGCTGTAGTTTATAAAAACTAAGGAGTTTAGATCATTGAATAGAGTTGATTTCCAAAGGTCCAGGAAGAGGACAACTGTATTGGAGGCAAGAGATAATTGTGCAGAAGCCTGTGGCATGGGATGGGAAAAGGATTGGCAGGGGTAGGGGATTGCGATTTCATTCTCTGCAGCTTTTTCAGAGATGCATTTTAAAATATTTTTCTTGCTTAGAACTGAGGTGTGGGTTTGAGCCCACAGGAGAAGTTTTTAAGAAACATTTTTGCAATTTCGCTAACACCCTTGTAAAACCTATTGTGTTACCTGTTTTAGGTACCTAGATTTTCAGTACTTCTATCCACTTAATTCCAAGTTGCCTCAAACTGAGAAGCACAATGCTTTCTCCTGGTGAGTTAAAAACCAGCTGCCAACCTTGGCTTTTCTTAACCTTAAGTTTGTATTAAGGTTGGAAGTTCTTTGGAAAGCAATTTCCTATTTCAGGTGAAGCAATATAATTGGAGCACCAATAAAGGCCATACCTAGGGTATATGGAAGGAAAGTGGGAGTGGCTGGAGCAAACTGAAAAGGCTACAGAGAAGCTAACTTAGAACCCCAAATAAATTCACAAGCAGTATAATTTATCCAGTGTCATTTACCTTGCTTCTGTTCATATTTAAGCAAGGAATTAATTTCCTTGTTACTTTTTTATTTATCTTACTTCATCAGGAGACAGGAAGAGAAAGTGGTAAAGAGGACTGTTAGGTAGCACAGAGCAATAGTTTTTATTTTTTATTTTTGAGTTGGAGTCTCACTCTGTCGCCGAGACTGGAGTGCAGTGGCATGCTCATGGCTACTGCATCCTCAACCTTCTGGGCTCAGGAGATTCTTCCACCTCAGCCTTCCAAGTAGCTGGAACTATAGGCGTGTGCCACCACGCCCTGCTAATTTTTTGACTTATTGTGGAGATGAGGGCTCACCAAGTTGCCCAGGCTGGTCTAGAACACCTGGACTCAGCCAATATGCTCACCTCAGCCTCCCAAAGTGCTGAGATTACAATCTTGAGCCACCGCACCTGGCGCCAGAGCTATAGTTTTAAGAGCCATTCTAAAAATCTGTTTTAATAGTTTAGCATATATATTTGATGTGACTATTGATGTGTCTAGATTTGTTTTTACCATAGTATTTGCATTTTTAAAAATCTACCTTTACATCTCTTTTTAAAAATTTTTGTTGCATTATTGAAGTTTTTTCTATTTTTAAAATTCTTCTGCAAGTTTGTAGATTTAGGCTATATTTTGGTGATTACTCTCATTTTTTAACATACACACATAATTACATAGTTTTCTAAATGTTTTCAGTGTTTCTGTCTTCCTTTCTAACAATTCATGGACCTTAGGATATTTTTTTGTTAGCAAATACCAATATCTTTATTGTCAGTTGTATGAATTGTACTTTAAATAAAATCTTGTACATAATTTATTTTCTAGCTAGTCATTAAAATCACCAATCTTTTGAATAATTTCTATGCGCAACATTTTGTGTGTGTGTGTGTGTGTGTGTGTGTGTGTGTGTGTGTGTGTGTATCAGATTTGATCTCTGAGTTCACTTGTCTTCTACGCTAAGGCTTTGTTTCCTGTGTGAGGGTCTGTGGATGTTTGAATTCACTTCTGGTATCCATGAAAATGCCTTCCTTTCATTGTCAATTTTGAATTGCAGTTGAGATATTTATCAAATTCTGAGTAGATCAATATTTTTCCCAGCATTTGGAAAATGATATTCCATTGGCTTGTGACATCTATTATTGAGGGTGAGAAGCTTGGTATCAGTTTAATAGTTTTTTTTCCTTTGTAGATAATCTCTATGGAAACTTTTAAAATGTATTTCATGTTCTATAAATTCACTGTAATGTCTAGTTGTGAATTTTGTTTTGTTAGGAATTTGTAATATACTTTTAATTCAAAGAGTCAGATTTACCCTTGGTCATCTAGTAGTTACAAAAAAGAATCATATTTCTTTAATTCTGAAAAAATTAACTCTTACGCATGTACATTTTATTTCTCTATTATACTTTCCAGTCTCCTGTGCTAACAATACTTACATGACTTGCCTTAGAAACTTTCAAATTCATCTAGTCTAAATTTATGCCATTTATTTTGTGATTTCAGTCACAATACTATTCACTTTTGGGTGTCTAATGGTTTGTATTTAATATTTACCTATTTTCAATTTATTTTTTCCTGTTGTTACTACTTGGTTTTCCTTTTTTTTAATAGAAAATCATTATTTCACATTTCTCTTTTAACATACTGTGTCAGACTTTTCTATAAAGTTAATTTCTTTTGTAATAAATTCATATTTTATTTATTTTATTTATTTATTTTTTTGAGTTGGAGTCTCACTCTGTTGCCCAGACTGGAGTGCAGTGGCCACTCCCGGCCACTGCAGCCTCGACCTGCTGGGCTCCGGCCATCCTTCCGCCTCAGCCTTCCAAGTAGCTGGAATTACAGGTGCGCGCTACCACGCCTGGCTGATTTTTTGATTTATTGTAAAGATGAGGTCTCGCTGCCCAGGCGGGTCTCGAACCCGCGGGC